GAAAGATCAGAATAAAATTAGGACTCTTCACTAAACTCTAAGTAGAATGTAACAAGAACACAGAACAAAACATGTATCCTTTTCTCTTAGTGATCTTACAAAATACTGAAGTTTATGCTTGCATTTAATCATTTTGGGGGGCTAAAAAAGTAAACTTCTCAAAGCACCCTTTCTTTCTTTCTTTCTTTCTTTCTTTCTTTCTTTCTTTCTTTCTTTTTTCTTTCTTTCTTTCTTTCTTTCTTTCTTTCTCTTCCTTCCTTCCTTCCTTCCTTCCTTTTTTTTTTTACCAGGGATCGAACTTGAGAGCTACCATTTTCCAGGCAGGTGCTTATGCCACTGAACTATATTCCCAGCCATTTTTTCATTTTTATTCATTTGTTAGAAAAATTTTATAAAGAACAATTTTAACTCATCAATTATCTTTATACACATGGTATAATTAATAGAAAATGTAGAATACTTGCTTAATTTTCAATTTTACTTAGCAATTTTCATGAAAATTAATTAGCTTCTATAATTCTGTGGAAGTGGATAATTGTCCTTTAATGCCATAATGTACTCAGAGATATAAATATATTTGACCTATTTAATCATTGTAATTAACAAAATTATTGATGCTCAAATAAACTCATTTTGGTTAATGAAATTCTAAAAAAATTGACTCAAATAATTTTACATTTGTTCTGTTATTTTTTCATAAATACCTTCCTCACTGGTTTGTTACAATTTATCAGGCTCAGCTTACAAATTTCCTGTCTGAGGCCTGCAATCATCAATGTTTCCATTGAATCTAGGTTGCTGTGAGTGAAGACTGACATTTCAAGATGATAATCTTGGTCTCAATGCAACTGTACTCGTTCGTTTTTCTATTTCCCTGTAATGAAAAAGAAAAGGTAGGAAATAATTACAAGTGGGAAAATCCAACTAGCTCTGTTCATATGAAAGACTAAAAACAATAAACAATTCAGTCATCAGAACTGAAATATAGACAGGTAGGTAGGTAGGCAGGTAGGCAGGCAGGCAGGAAGGCAGGCAGGCAGATAGATTTGTGATCAAATTTCAAAAACAAAATATTTAATTAAGTGATTCTCCATTGTATCTTTATGTCTTTTGTTCATATTAAAAATTTTGCTTCTCAAATACACAAAATGATAAATCAGAGCAGGCGCTCCACTCTCAAAATATATCACTAGCACTACCACTATTATGATAACTGAAATCAAATAAACTATGGCTGAAAGCTTTATAGAACCCTGATTTATCCTACAGTTATTAAAATAACTAATTTCACATGAAAACAGAAATTTAGAAATATATTATATTATAAATATATATGCTCAAGTTGAAGCAAATTTATACTGATAAAAGAAATACATAGTTATATATATTTGAATGACAGCCTCATTTTAGGAGCTTTTAATTTCTACTGCCAAAGTAAAGAAAAACCAGGATTTTACCTCTGAATTCATAATACTTAAGCCAAAATCAATGACATTTTACTAGAAAATTAATTGGAATTATAACATTTTAAGTATATATATATTATATATTAATTATTAATTTTTTAAAGAGAAAAAGTTAATTTTGGCTCACAATTTGAGTTTCAGCCCATGATTGGTTGGCTCTTTTACTTTTTTTTAGGACAGGGTATACAGGGTGTACATAGACTTGGACTTGTAGTGATTCTCCTGTTTACAGCCTCCAAAGTGCTGGGATTATATGTGCTCACCACCATGCCCAGTCTCAATCAGTCTTGGTGCACGCCAGGAGTGAGGCCAGCGTTTCAGGCCCAGGGATGGAACTCCTGCCCCCTGCGTCTGCCTAAGCAGGCACTTTAATCCACTGAGCTATTTGGCCAGCCTTTGGAATTATAATATTAAGAAGGAATTTTTGAACAGCGTTTGAACTGGTGGCATTTATAAGGAATCTCTGGTCAGGGATGTAGCTTAGCAGTATTGCATCTGCCTGGCAAGCATGAGGTCCTGAGTTTAATTCCTGGTACAAAAAAAATATTCTTACCATTTGTGAAATTCAATTGAAAATCTGAGCAATGATTTGGTTAATAATGTTTATAAAAATCTCAATGAAATAATAAAGTATAACACATAGTTCAGTATACTAGATGATATTTGTGTATTACCAAATAATATAATTGTATTTCAATTATATATATATATTGTTTTTAATATATAAAACATATTATAATTTAAGTTATTTTGTTTGCAAGGATGCCTATCATCATGAGTGACCACCTAATATAACACATTATTTGCACCATCAAATAATTTCAAATCTAGAAAAATATGTAATACAATTGTTTTCAAATATTGGAAATAGGCATCATAGAACTGTGAACCTTAATATGTGATCCATGCATCTTCAATTACAGTAATTTAAGACTAGGGGGGCCAGGGAGATAGTTCAGTAGATTAAACACTTGCCTGTCAAGCACAAGGGCCTGATTTCAATCGCCAGTTCCACAAAAAGAAAAAAACAAAGAAAAAGAAAACAATACTAAAATACAGGAACATCAGAGAGATGGATAGATAGATAGATGATAGAATTTATATATATATAATTATATTTTATTGAATATAGTTCTATTGCAATAATATATAAGTTTATACATATAAAATCTTATATATAAAATTTATATAAGTAGTTACAGGACTACTTTTCAATACAAAGTTCTATTTGGCTTGACATAATACTGATGTGCAGGATAAGGCACTAGAAATAATACAATAAAAAGAAATCTCTGATTCTGGCGATATCTCAAACAGCTGTGGCACAGGGTTAAAACTATATGAGTACGGACAGAAGATAGTTTACAATGATCTGTAGTTTATTTATGGAACTTAAACCAAGCTTTTGGGCTCTTAATATCCATATTAGAAGTGATTTACTGAGTGCCTTTAAAATTAATTAGAGATTAATTATTAGCTAAGTTTACTCTAAACCCAACCATAACAAACTTAAATTCTAGTCATTAAAGAGAAAGTTGATATACAGATAATGACCACAAATGACTTCATCAGCATTAAATAAAGATTAATAAAAGCCTAGTATGTAACATTCTATAATTTAAAATTCCCAATTTCCAGTTAAAAACAACTACATTTCCAAAGAAGTACAAAAGTGCCACCAAAGGGAGGAAAACTAGTAAATAAGACCAAACTCAGTCCACAATGGTGAATTTTCTAAAGGAAGTTCAGAATAGATATTATAAACATATTCAGATTCTTTCTTTAAAAGAATAATATGAAGCAAAATGGAAACTATAAGAAAAATGTGAGTTTTAGAAACAAATTAAAACAAAATTTACTGGATGAACTCAATACCAGATTAAATACTGCATATAAAAAAGAATGGTCATCGTCAAGTTAGGACAGCAAAAGAAGCCATACAAAATGATGAACAGGAAAAAGAGAGAATGAACAAAACTGAACAGTTTCTTAGAGACTGGTGGAAATATTAAGATCCTCTACAAACAAATAAAGGAAGATTAGAGATAGAAAAGTGAGAAACAAGTGGAAAGCTAAAACTTCAATATGTCTAACTTTGATAAAAACTATAAGTGGACAGGTCCTAGAAGTTCAATAAATCCAGAATACAACAAACACTACTTGTGTCTTTTAATCTTGCTTGTCAACTTGAGTGAATTAACAGATTCCTGGAAAAGTGATTAGAGAATTAACCCAGTGATAAGTTCTTAGCTGAATAGGCTATTGGGATGCAGGGACCAGTTGGAGGAAGTGTGTCATAGGGTCATGACCTTGGGGACTCTCTGGTCCCTACCACTTCCTCTCTATCTCTTCCTCATATTGTAACCCAATGCTTTAACGAAAAATATTCGAAATGAGGGGAGGCACATTATACCCTAAAATATTACATAAATTGTCACTTCTTTCTCCTGAGAAATAATGAGCTCAGAAGACAAAAGTATGACAACTTTAAAAGTGCTAAAAGACGAAAAGAGGCACCTGGAATTGTACCCCAACTAAATATGAGAAAAAAGATAATTTCTATTTATTTTTATATTACACACTTGAGAATTACTGAGAATACATTTTAAGTGTTTAAATTTCTACCACCACCATCCCCCAAAACCCATGATCTAATGGATTAAGTAAATGGCTCTACCCACTTCACATCACATGTGCACGCTCACACACACACACACACAGAGTGAAAAATCTGAAAAATTTATTGTTAGTATAGTTTCATTACAGAAAATTTTGAAGAAAGGCTAAAAATTGTGATACCAAATGGGAACTTGAATACACACAAAGACATCTAGAAAAGAAAACATGGGCAAATAAAAAAGTCTACTCTATTATTTAAAAAAAATATTTCCAGTAAGCCATTTCAAAAGGAATAGTGATTAAGTGAGTCAACATTCACTGTGCATCTCTTTCTTCTTTTGTTCCAGACCCCACTTGATCACATACACAGAGTAGAACCATGTATCTCATTACCAGTTCTATTTTAGAACTTTATGTAGACTTTTGAAATTATTTGCAACCATATTTTCACTGTGTACTTATTTATTTGTTTGTTTGTTTGTTTGTTTGTTTATTGTTCTGTCATTTAGCAGATAGCACTTCTTCCACAAAAACCTTATAAATCATAGTTCAAGAAGTCTGTCTCCCTCTTATCTGATTATAATAGTTTAAATAGAGATATGATGTTCATGAATCTAGAAAGACAGAAAGGTCAATTTTCAAACTAAAATAATGTAATTCAATAAACAATACATTTTAATACACATTAAAAGACTTTTCAAAAGTTCTTAAGGGAAATGACAGTGTCTGTCGAAGAAGCATTCCAGTTTCACAAACTTAAAAGAGAAGTTGGTCTGTGGTAATACCAGTCTTTATCTTGGAAACCAACAGTCATTTCGTAAGTGCGCAATATCATTTCCCTAAATAGCTTAGGTAAAAATTGCACTTCGGTTCCTCAGTTCTACATTTTTGCACGGACAGAAACACAACTCTTGACGTGTGTGTGTGTGTGTGTGTGTGTGTGTGTGTGCGCACACACACACTGCTAGTACAGTTAAGGCAGCTTTTGCTTTTACCACATGTAACTATGATATAGCACTAATCCATGATCTAGAGAACAATGTAATAACTATCTCCTTGTTTTGAAGGAGAACATGGAAACATCACTAGTTTTGCTTTCTCACTTAAACATGTGTGAATCAAAAGAAAAAAATTTCTTCAAGATAATGCACGGCACAGGAAAAGAAGAAACAAGCAAAGAACCTAAAATCAGGTAAAATTATACTTTTTAAGTCTTTCTTATGCTTTTAAAAACATAATTGATGTTGAATTAGTTGTAAGCACTTACTTGTGAAATATATGGCTAAAATTTTATTAATTATTCCACTGCATATGGAAAGTAACTTTTTAAAAACTTATTGGGAGTAAACAACTCTTACATCTAAAGTGTTCTCACTTTAAAAAGCATAGCGAATTTACCTACACAAAAGGACTAGAATATACTTGGCTGAAATATAAACCTCATGTATTTTCTGTCCTGAAGCAAAAAAGAACATATTTAACATATGCTATACTAATTCCTCTGCAAACATAACATTTAAATATTATTCAAAAAAGATTTGTGCATGAGTGTGGGTTGGTGTATTTGTCAGTGTGTGGGTGGGTATTTACCAATCCAGACTTGTTTGGTAGGCAGAAGAAGGAATTTTACATGTCATATAAATTATTCTGAAGCTAATGCTGTTTTTTACAGAGCTAAGGAAAAAAGAAACAGACTAAGTCTTCTTGTGCAGAAGCCTGAGTTACATGAAGAGACACACTGCAGTAGATCTGGGCCCTTGGCCAAGGACATAAGGTGAATAGTTTTTAATATTTGGGAAGACTTTACTAATTCTGTAATTAAAGGGTGAAGAAGTAGAAAATTAGGGACTTATATCTTATTGTACTTCACAGTGATATGGGGAAGGATATAGATCTCATTTTGAGAAATTAGGACTAATCCTAAAATTTAAACCTAATGGACTGTATTAAATAATATATGAACATTTAAATGTGTTTTTTAAAGGTATGTACATGTTATTTTTAAACACTATATTTTACTTCATATAAATTTACATAATGTTAATTTCTTTTCATAACGAAATATCATGAAAAGAGATATTCAACTCTTTCCTCAGTAATTAAAAAAACACACTAAGTATCACAATGTAGTAATAGGGGATATCTTATAGTTTTAGCATTTAATTAAAATAACAAAGTAGCCTTAGCTTTCTATACTATTTTAATATAAACCTTCCCAATTTTTAATATCCCTATAAAGGGTCTGGGAAAATATTCAACCTTCTAAATTATAAACAGTCCTAAAGCATTTGTTCAATTTTTAAAATTGTGTTAATTTTTTTTATCCCCATGAAACTTCATTAGTTAGACTCTCTGTACTGATAGAGAAACGGCAGCATGTAGTGGCTGGAGCGTCAAGGAGATTGCAGGAAAATGCTCGACGGAAAGACACATTTCTAAATTTACGTTTTCAAGGCTGCTGAATTAAAGATACTTGACCTGACTCCTTCTAATTTGGTTTAGTGATGTTTAACTTAATTCATAATTATCTTTTTTTCTTAAAAATATTACACCAGTGAGCAAATCCATAATGTTAACATGTGTTTGTTAGGCAAAGCTCAGAAGAAAATTGACCAATATTTTTGAAGTTCCTAATTTAAATGTGATTTTCAAGATATATAAATATAGAAAACCATGTAAAATATTAACTGAGAAGAGCAACAGCATATCCTATGTTTGAACTGATTCATAAACAGACTTTCTGCACATTCCATTATGAGACATTTTGTTTCTCAAACAGTGTTCTTCCTGAAGAGGCAGCGAAATGGGGTGAATCACTTGACAAACTACTTTCCCATAGAGGTTAGTGATATTTTCACAGTATACTTTATTCTGTAATAGAAAAGTTGAACAAAGAATATAAACAATTTTACAAAACAGTTATAAAATTTTGTAGAAATATTCATAAACTGGTCTATAAGTAAGGTAAACTTTGTGTACTGGATGGAGATAAGACACAGCCGTGTCCCTATTTGACCTACCCATAGTGTAATACAGACTGGTTTAGAAGGCAGGCTGTCTGGATTGATAATTTGTTCAATTTGTACAGGTAGCAGGAAAGCAGGTGCTTTTGTCTTTATTAGGCCCACATGTCTTTCAATAGGCAAGCTGACAATTTGTACTGAGTAGACAATGGGAAACCACACAGTATCATTTTCTACACTGGCACAAATTGGTCAGCTGAAAAGCAACACTTCATCCTCTGTAAGATTACATCATTTGTTTGCACTGCAAATTGTTCATTTTCGTTGACATGTTCTTTGACTGAAACGCACTACCTCTGAGCTCTTCCTAGAACCATTCCAAGATAAGACAACTAGCTAACATCTGCATGTAGCAACATCCAGTGGATCTCATATGCTAAGCTGTTTGCTGGGAGAAGTGATTCCTGATGCCAGAGAACCTAAAATGAATTGTCACTCAGCTCAGACACCTTCCTCCATCCAGTGAAGCACCACACCTGTGCTCATTTTCTGTATTTGCTCATGCTTTGTTGTCTATCTTTCTATATAGTATTGATGGTCCTTTCCTATTTTCTGAATTTACTAACATAAAAATTCTATTTCTGTAGATTGTCTCTCAAAATATTCCCTTTTCCAAAATAATAGGTATCTACCTCTTAACTGTAGTATTGATTCAAAGAAAGAAAAATACAGATACATAAATCAAATTTCACATTTTTTAAAAATTTTAAGTTGGTACAGGGTTTCACTACACAGTTCAGACTCACAGTGATCCTCCTGTTTTCAGCCGCCACAACACTGGGATTACAGACATGTGCCACCAGACCCAGACTCGGTCACCAGCTCAGGGTGCCTATGGGACAAGGCTGGGGCGGCATGTGGTGCTGAAGATTGAACCCCAGTCCCTGGGCTTGCCTAAGAGATGCTTATTCTGCTGAGGCATTTTGCCTGCTCTCAGAAATCAAATTTTTAATCCATCAAATTTGTATTAGGATTTAATAAATGAGAATGGAGGCCAAATAAAAAATTAAAAAGAGAATGGAAAGTATTGGTAAGAAAACTGTACCATTGAAAGTGTAACTCAGTACTCTCTCTTCCTTATGTACCTTAGTACTGCTATCACTACTTATTCTGAGGAAGAGTATCTGAAATAGCTTTCCTGAATTGTATACTTTTCCTTACTTCCAAGAATTATTTTATGATGAACTTTTTGTTTGTTTGTTTGTTTGTTTATTTGTTTGCGCAGTAATGGGAATTGAACTCAGGGCCCTGCACTTGCCAGGCAGGTGTTTAGCTATCTCCCCGGCCCCATGATGAAAATTCTTGATATGTCTAAAACCTGTGTCATCTTGTTTTCCCTTTTTATTGTTTTAATTAATGTGCAATAATTCTACATAGCTATGTCACATGGTGTGATATTTTGACACACATATGCAATATATTATGTCAAATCAGGGTAATTAGACTATCTAGAATGTCAAGATAATTCTTATTTCTTTGTGTTTCGGATATTAAAAATTAATCCTTCTAGCTATTTAAAATATATAATAAATTATTATTGACTGTAGCTACCCTGTTGTGTTATAAAAGTTAGATTTTATTCTCCTCCCTATATACTCAGTCATCAACCTTTCTCTTACCTTCTATGACTCCTACCCTTCTTTTTTCCCTCTGGTAACCATTATTCTGCTTTCTACTCCTAAGAGATAAATTTATCTAGTTTCCACATAAGTAAGATCATGTAATATACATGCTTGTGCCAGCACTGACATAATGTCCTTCTGTACCATCCACATTGTTGCAAATAACAGGATTCCATTTTGATTTATTACTGGATGCTATTTAGATGTCATTACATACAACAATTTGCTTATCCATCCAGTAAAGGGAATTTAGCTTGATTACATACCCTGGCTGTTATAAATAGAGTTATCCTCGCTCTCCTGCTTTCTCTTTTATTTCGGCTCCAGTTATGTTCTTAACAGATTACTTACAACAACCTGTATAACTTTCCTCCATAACTTATGCCTCCAAAAGTTATGTTTTAATCTTCTATATGCAACGTTTGGTATAACATTGTTCTTTAGTCTTGTTACCAATGAGAACAAGGATAAAAATAACAAAAGAGTAGAATTATTCTCTTTTACAATATCACTATATATGAAAGAAAATAATATTTTTTGACATCACAAAATCTAGCATCTATGCAATCTGGAAAATACTAGAGGGGCCAGGGAGATGGCTCAGTGGAATAAGCGCTTCACTGGCAAGTGCAAGGACCTGAGTTCAATTCCTGGTTCCACCAAAAAAAAATAAAAATAAAAAAATACTAGATACTTCCATAATGAAACTGATTTTTTGTAGGTAAAAATTATGTTAGAATTCTTTTGAGATTTTAGTTCTTATATTCTTGTGCAATATAAAATGGTTATAAAATCTTAGGTAAGTCCCCTAATCATTCAGACTTGCTGTTTCCTCAGCTGTAAATAAAGATAACATTTTTCATTGCAATAGAAATGGATTTCTGTCAGGATTAAATGAGATGATGAATAAGAAACCAATAAACTTTAGCCACTACACAAATGTCAATAACTTCTGCTACAAGAAAAACTAATAACTACTAACAAGTTTACAGACCCTTTCCTATCTCCAGTGTACTTTAGCTGCATGGTAATGAGCTGGAGATGTAAATTTCCATTGAAATCCATATGGGAATTGGATTTATTACTTTAACACATCGCTAAGCTATAATTCTATCATACTATTACTACCTAAAGTTAAGAACAGTTTAGCAAAGTAATCTTACCTTAAAAACAACTTATCTAATATTCTGTAATTCTTTTTATTTATTTATTTATTTTTTTTTTTGGTGGAAACGGGGATTGAACTCAGGCCCTTGTGCTTGCCAGGGAAGCACTTATTCCACTGAGCCATCTCCCCAGCCCCTTTGTAATTATTCTTCTTTACCAGACATCAAAACCAAGTAGACAAAATTGAATGTGACACTCTTTTTCCCGACTCATAGAAATATTAAAAAGCCATAAAAATAATTTAAATCAAAATGAGGTCCTGTGAATAACAAAACCAACACTTAAAATGAAAATAATCTCTTATGATCAAAGTGCTAAAGAAATCATGTTACTTATTTTTGAATCAATTATTCTCATAGCAATGCTAACTGTAATATTAAATAATAAACATAAAATACCACTTAAAATGCTCATAGGTGCAAGGCTTGAATTCAATTCATATATAT